CAAATGGTCAGTGAGTTTGAACCCACCAGCTGGTCCATGGGAGAAAGACGGCAGTCTGCTGCCATAAAGATTTAAAGCCTTAGAAACCCTATAGGGCAATTCTACTCTGTCCTCATCTCAATACCAATGGGTTTGGTTTGGATTTGGGTTAGAGAAGGAAAGAATTGTCTGTATCCTTGAATTCTTTGCTACTCACATAGCTGCCACCTTTGGAAGCGAGAGAGGGAGTGCACATTGGTGGACCATCTGCCTGGTTGGGTGCTTTTACTGCTTGTCATCAGGTTGACTCTGATTCATATGACCACACCTGTGTCAAGAGTAGAAGTGAGCTCCACAGGGTTTTCAGTGGCTGATTTTTCAGAAGTAGGTCACCAGGGCTTTCATCTCTTGTGCCTCAGGTGGACTTGAACCTCCAACATTTTTTATTAACAGTCAAGCGTGTTAACTGTTTGGACCTAAGCCCCACGTCCATATCCTCACAGAGATTTAAACCATGCAAGGAGGAGGGACTTTCCTTGCTGTTTGGCCTTTCAGAAAAGTTCCAGAACTGCTCCTTTGGGTATGACAGTCATTTGGCCTTGGTCCCCTTGCTGACTACCGTGACCTGTCTTCCTGATCACAGGCACTGGCTAGGCTAACCTTCCTCATCCTTCATGCACCTGTGGCCCATCTCAGGGACTCCTGGCCCTGTCTCCTGTGTCTCCATGGCACCTTCTGTAATCGGTAATGACAAACAGGTTTGTGTTGCCTTGTTTAGTGCCCATATCCACCCTGCTGTCTACCACGTCCACTTGGGACACACAGCACCCTCAGCCCTGGCCTAGTGCTACCCATTTAGTGCATTCTCACAAAATGAGCAAATGAATAGGCTCAGGTCATGCTCCCCCTATTGGCTACCAAATTGTAGGCAAAAATCGGAAACTCCCTGTGCCTCAGTTTTCTTATCTGTCACATGGAAGTAACAGTACTCAGCCTGTAGGGGCTCTGAGGGGTAGCTGCACCAGGCCTGGTGCATAGCATGTGTACACACATGAGCTGTCAGTTATTTTACTTAATTTTTTTTGTTTTGATTGTCAACAAGGCTGGAATTTGAACCAGCAAGGCCAGAAAAAACCTACTTGACACAGTGGGTAGCCATTGACTCCCCTAAAACAGCATGCAGCATAGAGTTGGGATGTGGGTGTGCACCCTGTCCCAGTTGTGTATGGCCAAGTGATTGGGGCATGTGGCTATACCTCCCAGAGCTCTAGGCCCCTTGTGGGTGCTGGGATTTGTCATTGCCATGGCTCAGAATGAGGACAGGAGGCAGAGGACTGTTGGCCAGTGTTGTTTATTCAGCCCAGATGGGACAGGCTGCCCTGATGTTTGAGTGATCACCCTTCAGGAATCATTGCACTTGATTCCTGGTTCCCTGTGGGTGCAGAGGCGATGTCAGTGTGGATTGAAGGCAGCAGCTCCATGTCAGGCAGCAATTTGAATCCTCCGGTTAGCACTGATTACCTGTGCCTGTGGGTATGTTCCTTAATAAGGAGCTTGATATTTGCTTGGTAAAGTGGGTCAACCTCACACCTGATAGATGAAATGACCCCATGAAATACGCAGCACCATGGAATAGCCTATCACCCAGTCCCTAGTAAGTACATCATTAAGTAAGTGTTCATTTTGGTGGTGGCATCCCTGATGGAGGATTTCATCCTCCAAGGTGCATGCCAAACCCAGATATCACCCTCTGGAAAGAATGTTCTGGATAGGCAGGGTCGGGTCCTAGTCCATGTCTCACACAGAACCTGATTCTCACCTTCTGTGTTGGACAGTAGTATCCCCCAAGCTGGGAAGGAGGTGCACTCTGGTCTTGCAGTACTCTCTTGGGGCACAGCAGGCATCCCGACCTCATCCTCAGAGGACACTCAGATGCCTGGGAGCTGAGCTCCTGCACATTCACAGCTCTAGTTTCTTTGGGTATAGACACGGGGCTGGACCGTTCTCATACCAGTGCAGACCTTGTTGTTAAGTGCCGTCGAGTCGTTTCAGACTCATAGCGACCCCATGCACAGCAGAACGAAACACTGCCCAATCCCGCGCCAGCCCCACAATCCCTGCTATACTTGAGCCCATCATCGCAACCACCGTATCAATCCATCTCGTTGAAGGCCTCCCCCTCTTTCGTTGACCCTCCACCCTACCAAGCATGACATCCTTCTCCAGGGAATGGTCCCTTCTGACAACATGACCAAAATAGGTGAGACGAAGTCTGGCCATTCTTGCTTCCAAGGAGCATTCTGGCTGCACTTCCTCCAGGACAGATGTTAGTTTTTTTAGCAGTCCATGGTACTTTCAGCATTCTTCGCCAGCACCACAACTCAAAAGCATCAACTCTTCTTCGGTCTTCCTTATTCATTGTGCAGACCTTAGCTTTTTGCATTTTTCTTTTACTTTAACTTGGTCACAATTTCTGTGGAACTAAATTTAAACCCATATCCTTTGTCATGTTGTCAGAATGGACCAATCCCTGGAGAAGAATATCATGCTTGGTAAAGTGGAGGGTCAGTGAAAAAGGGGAAGAGCCTCAACAAAATGGATTGACAAAGTGGCTGCAATGGTGGGCTCAAGTATAGCAAGGATTGTGAGGATATTGCAGGATCACGCAGTGTTTCATTCTGTTGTACAGAATTGGAACCAACTTGATGGTACCTAACAGTAACAGTAGCATCCTTTGTTTATTTTATTTTTTGTACTGAACTCCTCCTTACTGTATATTGCCTTTCCCTTCAACCAAGTTAATAGGTGTCTACCTTCTAGTTGGTGATTGTCCCTCCCTTCCCCTCTGTCCCTGGAAACTTTAAAAGAATATTTCTTTCTGTGTAAACTTTTTCTTAACTTTTACAATAGTGGTCTCATACAATAATTGTTCTTATGTGATTGACTAATTTCACTCAGCATAATGTCTTCTAGGTTCATCCTTGTTATGAGGTATTTTGCACATTCATTGTTATTATTTAATGTTGGGTAGTAGTCCATTTTGTGTATGTACCATAGTTTGTTTATCCATTCATCCATTGATGGGCACTTAGGTTGTTTCCATCTTTTTGCTACTGTGAATAGTGCTGTGATGAACATGAGTGTGTATATATCTATTTGTGTCATGGCTCTTATTTCTTTAGGATATATAGCTACTGGTGGGATTGCTGGATCATACAGTATTTCTATTTCTAACTTCTTAAGGAAGCATCATACATAATGTTTTCCACAGCAGTTGTACCATTTTACTGTCCTACAGTAGTATATGAGGATTCCAGTCTCTCCACACCCTTGCCAGCATATGTTGTTTTCTGTTTTTTGAACTTTGCTATTAATGCTTGGGTGAGATGACATCTCATTGTTATTTTGATTGGCATGTCTGTAATGGTTAATGATTGAAACCATTTCTTCATGTGTTTGTTGCCCACCTGAATGTTGTCTTTGGTGAAGTACCTGTTCATGTCCTCTGCCCATTTTTTAATTGGATTGCTTGTCTTTTTTTGTTGAGGTGTTGAAGTTTTCTGTAAATTTTGGAGATTAGTCTCTTATCCAATATATTGCCAACTTTTTTTTTTCCTACTCAGTAAGTTCTCTTTTCACTCTTTTGACACAGTGTTTTGATGCACATAAATGTTTAATTTTTAGGAGGTCCCAGTCATCTAGTTTGTCATCTGCCATTTGTGTATTTTTAGTACTGTTTGATAGTATATTTATGCCAAGTATTAGGGTTTCTAAGTTTGTCCCTAGTTTTTCTTTGATGCTCTTTATAGTTTGGGGTTTTACATTTAGGTTTTGACCCATCTAGAGTTAGTTTTTGTATATTGTGTGAGAAATGGATTCTGTTTCATTTTCCTGCAAGTGGATGTCCCATTTTGCCAGCACCATTTGTTAAAGAGATTCTTTCCCATTTAATGGGCATCAGCCCTTTGTCAAAGATAAACTGTTCGTAGGTAGGTGGATTTACTTCTGGGTTCTCAGTTCTGTTCCATTGGTCTGTGTGTCTGTCATTGTACCAAAAGTCCTTTGTTAATTTTAAACGAAGGGCTTTTGAACTTCAGTGCTTGGTGTGTATGTAACCCAGGGCTCCCTTAGGTTGTTTGCCATGCGTTTTTCTGGCCTGTTTGAGGCAAAGTGATTTTTCTGCCCCCTCTGAGGCCTTGGTTTCCTCACCTGTAATGAGAGTGAACATCCCCCTCACATGTTAACACCCTGAGGACCGCCTGAGAACAGAGGATCTGTTCTCTTGAAGTGATCTGCCCCAGCCACACCTACTGTTCAAGCAGCCTTCCCATTTTCTCAGACCTCTCCTCAGCTTAAGGATAGTGACTAAGGCATTTGACTGCTAGCCAGAAGGTTGACAGTTTAAACCCACCAGCCACTTCGTGGAAGGAAGACAGGGCTATTTACTTCCATAAAGATTTACTGCCTCAGAAACCCAAAGAGAGTCTCTGTGAGTCAGAATTGACTTCATGCAGTGAGTTTTATTTTTATTTATTTATTTATTTTGGTCTCCTCAGCTTAGGGCCTCCCTGACCTTGACTCATCCAGTCTGCCTCTGACCTACTTCTGAGGGAGGACAGATGGTCACACACCCTACTAGTGCTGTTCCCTGGTATTTACAGTTGAAATGAGGCCAGTGGTATTGGGCAACCCTGGGTACCGTGCCCGTTGCTAACCACAGCATCCCTACAGTGTCAACAGTGTCTCGACCCTGGAGCCTGTGCGCCAGTGCCAGCACCTGAGCGAGCTCTACCTGCGCAAGAACCGCATCCCCAGCCTGGCCGAGCTCTTTTACCTGAAGGACCTGCCGTGCCTGCGGGTGCTGTGGCTGGCTGAGAACCCATGCTGCGGCCCCGATCCCCACCTCTATCGAATGACTGTCCTGCGCAACCTGCCCGGCCTACAGAAATTGGACAACCAGAGTGGGTGTCTTGCCAGTGTGCCAAGACTGGCCTGGGTGGGAGACCACGGGGCTGTCATGCTTGCTAGTCTAGGGACTTAGGAGGCTGAGATTCAACACCACATCCAGAAGAAAATCCTGATAACCCACATCATTGCTAACAGGCCTGAGCTGGGAAGCTGTCCCTCCCCTAATCTTCTTCCCTCCACAAATTCCTCATCTTTCAAGACACATCTCCAAGGTCATCTTCACCATAAAGTCCTCTTAAGGGGGAACTCCCAAAGTTTCTTCTGCTTATAATAGTATTAAGGAGCTCAGGCGACATAGTGGGTATGGCATCTGGTTGCTAACCAAAAGGTTCAAACCCAGCAGCTTCCCATGGGAGGAGGGTGAAGCAATCTACTTCCATAAAGATTTACAGCCTTGGAAACCCAGTGGGGGTGGCTATGAATCCGAATGGACTCCGTGGCAGTGGATTTGGGTTTTTGGTTTATTTCGATCACCTGGCTTTCCTTTCTAGGCCATAACCCACCCAACCTTGAGTCCCAACCCTCACTTACCCAGTCGTAAGGGTAAGTACCTCCTAGGTAAACACAGCACAGGCTGGTCATCCACCGTCAAAGGGCACTGGAGCAGTTTCTTTTTCTTTTAATAGGCTTTACTTTTTAGAGTGGTTTTAGGTTTAAGGAAAATTGTGCACAAAATACAAAAAGATAATTCCTGTATGCCCACTCCCCCCAACCCTGCATACAGTTTTTCCTGTTAACGCCTTAGATTCCTTTTCTTGTTTTTATCCTCTTAAGAATGATGCTGCTGTAAATCCTCACCCCTGGTCCCTGGCGAGCGTGTGCAGGTGTCAGAGGTGCAGTGTCTAGGCATGCAGGTGGTAGTACTGCTGGGTCATGGGGACTGTGTGTGCCCAGCAGCCCTGACTGAACTTGAACTCTAGTAGCTGTGCCATCTCAACCCCCAGCAGTGAATCTACACACATCATCCCCAGTTTGCACTCTTCCTGTTGAAGGAGTAGAGTACCCCCTGAAGTTTCAGTTTGCTTCTCTATGTTCACCCATAAGGCAAGTACCTCACCATGGGCACGGCCATTTACCCCTCTCTGTGAAGGTGTAGCCCATTCCCCAGGGGACTATGCCTTTTCCTTGTTCACCTACTGGCTCTCTGGAAGCCAATTACTAATCCCTGTCAGTCATACGTGTGACAGATACTTGCTTCAGATAGGCAACTTTAAATAAGCATCAGGGCGATTGAGGCATGTGAGTGAAGTGAAGTAACTATGGTCTCGTCCTTTTGTAAACTTTGCCTCAGTTGAGGGGTTTTATGAGCTTTTACTTCTAGCAAATCTAAGTTCATAGGCAGACATGTGTCCAGCAAGTGCCTGAGCTGAGGACATGGACATGATTGCCTGACCCTGGGCAGCCAACTCACTGGGTGGGAGGACACACATTCACACATGTGCAGACACCATTTCAAGACTGCGCTGAATGCCATGGGATGACGAGGGCCACAGTATGTGGTTCGGTGTCAGGAGCCGTTCTGATACTCTGGCCTGTCTCCTTTACTCCGAAGCTGTGACCGAGGAGGAGCTGTCCCGAGCACTGATGGAGGGGGATGAGATCACTGCTGCCCCAGCCAGAGAGGACACAGAGAGCAGGCAGCCTGGGATGCCCTTTGCCCTGAGTTCCGTTGACCCTTTGACTGAGACCGAGCAGGACCCATTGGGCTTCAGCACTGATGAGGCGAGGTATGGCTCACAGGGGGCTAGGAAGTAGTAGAGGCCCAGCCTGGGTCTCCCCATGCAGAGAGTCAGTGGGTATTTCTCTGCCCTGCTAGGTCCTTTCTTCTGTTATTTGCATTTGAGACCATAGTGTTTCTTCAACTACTATTTCTTTTAAAAGCCACTTTAAAAAACCGTATTTATCAAACAGCAGGCGGGGCAAGAAATAAGTGTGGTCTGGAGACACCCTTAAGGAGCTCTGATGGTATAGTGGTTAAGGCATTCAGCTGCTAATCAGAAGATCAGTGGTTCAAACATACCAGCCACTCCATGGGATGAAATTGAGGCACTCTACTTCTGTGAAGATTTACAGCCTTGGAAGCTCCCAGGGACAGTTCTGCTCTGTCCTTTAGGGTGGCTTTGAGTCAGAATTGACTCAATGGCAGTGGGAATGGTTTTGGTTTGGTGGAGACACCCATGGCCTCTGAGTTCCTGAGGACACTGAGAGGGGGACTGCATGCAGGGACAGAGAGCTGGGACACAAAGGGTTTAAATGTGGGCCTCTGGGCCAAGAGTCTACTCAGCAGATCCAGGCCCTTCCCCTTCCTACCATTGTTTTTCCCATGATGGGGGAAGGTTTTTCAGGGCCACCTTCACTGAGGGGACTAGTGCAACCCAGCATCATGTATGCTGTGAGCTCAATGTGCCAGGACTCACACAGGGGTCAGTCATGTGAGTGTTTAGTGCTCCCCCACCCCAGGAGTTGTTATAGCTGGGAAGTTTGGGTGCAGAGAGGCTTCCCCTGAATAGGATCAAGAGAAAGGCTCACTCTCTGAGCCAAGTGCCGGTCAGCCAGAGTTGACCCAGGGTTCCACCTCAGTCTCGCTTTGTGGAAGCTGACCTTTTTTTTGTCTGCTTCTGTTTTGCTTGGGTAGGGAGGTCTGTTTTCATGATGGAGGAGTCTGTCTGCACTGTGCTATTGGGTGCAGGGACTCCCCCACCATGCCCCTTAGGCCCAAGCTCTATGTACCCCCTCACCAGCAGTGTCCAGGAGCACCTGGGCATGAAGTCGCTGTCCCAGGACCAGTCCTCCTCCTCTCCACCACAAGAAACCACCAGCAACCTCAAGAACAAGGTGAGTGTGCCCAGGCAGCCCCTGGTCCCTATACCTCAAATGTGGAAATCTGGGTGGTGGGAAGCTTTGAGACACTCTAGGAAGTTATACCAAAGCCAGGTCCCCAAGAATGGAAAACTGGCCCTGAGGGCTCCCTCGTAATTGCCTGACCCTGGGCAGCCAACTCACTGGGTGGGAAGACACACATTCACATGTGTGCAGATACCATTTCAAGACTGTGCTGAATGCCATGGGATGACGAGGGCCACAGATGGAAGCTCATGAGAAGAGCAAACTCCTTGGAGAGCTGAGGCTCTGAAAGATGCCCCTCCCACCTGGGTAGTGGACGGAGGTGGCAGCTGTGCTAACATGTGCTCCCACATCCTGAGCTGCACTTGTTGGGAAAGAGAAAGAGAATGGCAGGAGTACCCACCCAGCTGTGGGGTCCCAGGTCCCCCTGTGCTCCCCCCTGCTCCTGGGGGCTCTCCTGGCAGGTCACGGTCCTGCAGAGTTTCATGTCCCTCCCCCATGAGGTGACCAGGTCAAGGCTCCTTGGATTTGTAATGTGCTTTTAGCCACTGAGGGTTTTCTAATAAATTTTGGGAGGAACCCCAGTACATGAAGTATCCAGGAAGGATCTGCTCCTCTGCAATTGGGGGTGTCCAGAGCCCCTTCTCTTTCCCTATCCCCTTCCTCCTTGCTCTTGAGGCCCTACAGAGCCCCCAGGCCTGTGGTGATCCTAGATTAAAAGCATGGATTTACCTCTGTGTCTTCAGCAAATACTAAACAGGCTATAAGCCTGCCCCCCAGCACACACACATACACAGCTGCCTCTGCAGAGAGACAGGCAGGTGCTGCTCCTATCTGGGTGTGGGGTATAGCCTGGTGGATCATGAGAGGGCTTGGTGGCCAAAGAGACCCTGGGGACATGGGAAGAGGGTGAGATGTGAGGGATCAGAACCCAGGATGCAGGCAATCAGGTGGGCCCATGACTCTGCTTTGATGGCAGTGGACCTCCTAGAACAGACCTTTCCTGTCCTGTGTGTGCCTGTGTGAATAAGCAGCAGAGTGGCTAAGAGTGCCGCTCACCTCCACGTAACATGCAGAGGGAATCAGCTCAGGTGGTCCTATTTCAGTGCCCTTGTTGTGTCTTCCTGGCAGAGAAAGATAGAAAATGCATGTGTAGGTGTGAGGTACACGTGTTTGGGAGCACATGTACATATGTGATATCCACAGCACATGTATGTCAGAGCACATATCACACAGAGCCAGCCCTGCTCTAATTTCTGCCTCCATGTGCCTCAATTTCCTCATCAGTAGAAGTGAGTGGTGAGCAGAGGGCCACCTGGGGATGTGAGGGACAGCAGGTTAGCAGGTAGAAGTATGTGAGATCCCACCTGGCAAGCGTGAGCGCCGTGGAAATATCTGCAGCATGGTTTCCCTGTATTCTGACTTTGTGTCTGTTTCATATTACTTGTTCCCTGGAAGGCCCAACCTAATCCCCACCCTAGATGCTCTGTTCTCTGTGACATGACCATGGCTGCATCCATGGTATGGGAGTGGCCCACATTGCTTGGCTGGTGGCTTTCATTTAATGACCCCTCTGTCCCCAGAACAATGTGCTGACTGCCATCCTGCTGCTGCTGAGAGAGTTGGATGCTGAGGGGCTGGAGGTGGTGCACCACACCGTGGGCAGCCACCTCCAGGCCCTGCACAGGCGGGAGTTGCAAGAGGACATGGAGTGACCCCATAGGGGATCAGCCATCAGGCCCCACTGGCCGGCTGGACTGTGCCAACTACACCACCTCCCTGCTGTAAGTCCTAGTGTGTCCCCAGTGTCCTCTCCAAGTATCTAAGAATGGAATGCTGCAGCACTGCTACTGCCCACAGCCCCTGCCTGGGCCCTTGGCTGGGAGTAGCCTCAGGCTGGGAGCCAGCACCAGAACCATGTCTGCAGGAAGCTGCACCACAGCCTGTCAACTCCCAAGAAGGCCCTGAACAGCCCCCAGGAAGGAGAAGAGTGCAGCCATTGGGCCACCGGGTAGATCCAGTTCCTCCTGACCAGTAGAGGGACAGCTGGGGCAGTGGTGGTGCACCCAGGCCAACAGGGTATGGATGCCTTCCTCTGCCCAAGCCACTGCTGTTCCTGAAACTCATCCCTGTGGCTGTGAGGATCCTAGCTGAACTGGGAGCTGCTTAAAATGGACAACTTTGAAGGTGATTTTCCTAATAAAGTATTTTTCCAAAATCTGATCTGTAGGCAGACATGTCCACATGCACACATAGCCTGGGAATTTTTTAAAGATAAATACTATTTCTCTCAGTAGAATAGGGAGATGCTCGCAGGATGTTCTGCTCATTTTCAGTCCCTGACTTGGTTGGACACACTCTTCACTGGCCAACGGAATCTTCCAGAATGCTGGCCTTGTCAGGCTCCCCAGCAACCCCTCCATCCCTACCACCTCACCCCCACTGCAGCTTCTGCCTGCATTTAAGGCCATGTTTGAATTGTGAGGAGGAGGAATGGTCATTATTTTCCCCTCTCTCTAATAGCCCTGCTTCAGTGCAGGGTGTTTATGCTGACTAACTTAGCCAGACCCCATTACTTCCATGTGGGGGCCGGGGGGATGTAGCTGTGGGGAGAAGAGAGCCTCCTGGAAGCTAAAATACATCTTCCCTGTGAAAAGTTGGCAGGTCTCATCAGGTCTCATCATGATGTCCAGCCTCTGGGCAGTGAGCCCACAGTAGAGGCCTTTATAGGGCCTACCAAAACTTCAGACACACTCACGTGAAAAATGAGGTTGTGAACTGGTCCAAGCCATGACAGACTAGCCAGCTCATGCTGGTGTATGAGTCACTGGGCTGGAGAGGAGAAAGCTGACCTTCCCTCTGCCCCTTCCCACTGCTGGGGCTGGGGTCCAGATCTATTTAAACTGTCCCAAACCTGCACAAGCTAAGAGCATGTGCAGTTATACTGACAGGATAGCAAGTCAAAAGGATGACAGGTTGAAGGGATGCAAGAATTGAGTGATGTGTGTGCAGGTCAGCAAAGGCTTAGCTCCCAAAGATAAGGCATTCAGATGGCTATGCTGTCACAGGAAGGTGAATGGTCTGCTAACCATTTCAAAGCCATTTCTAGAATTGTCAGAAGCCATTTCAACACTCTACCTTTGGAAGACCCAGTGTGAAGATGGGGTGCTTCTGTCTGTGGGATTATTATGTAAGTTCTCTGGGCATGGAGCTTGGTCTCTGTGTTGTGGGAAGCAAGGAGTGGCTACCTGTGGTCACTGAGGTAGGGTTGTCACAAAGCCTGTGTCTATGCCTTCTCTTGATTGATGGTATGCCAGATGCTCTCAATAAAGTGCTGTCTGTCAGAACAAGTTGGTGGAATGCCCCCCTTCCTCCCCCACCTGTGTATCTCCAGAATACCTGAAGGTAGTGCCACATGACTTCCCCGACCTTCTCCACTCACCTTCCCCAGCTGCCTGTTCTAGGCTCCTTTGAGTTCTCAAGCTGGGTTTGAGGAGGAACTACATCAAGTCCACTCCCATTTCTTCTGTTCAGAGGTGGGCGCTGGGCAAAGTTAAACAACCTGCTGGGAGTAAGGGGATGGTGTGGGGCATTTGCCAGTTTCCATGGTGTACTCCCACTATGGCTGACACCAGGCTTCCAGGGTCAGGCCACATTGGGCAGAGGCGCCCATAGGCACTTGGTACTTGGTGGGGGTGTGGATGCTAGTCACTGTAGGTGCTTAGAGGCTACTGCTGTTAGAGGACTGCCATCTTTCTCCAGAGAAGTCACCTTCAGTCTTACTGGGGGAGGGGCAGAATGGGGAGGGTGGTGGGTACCCTCTTAGTCTGTGGTTCACACCTACCATGGCTCCTCCTTCCCCCTCTCAGGCCTGCCTACATTCCTTGGGGTCTTATCCTGACCTTTACTTCCCCCTCCTACTACACCCTAGGGTGAAGCTGGTCTGGCCCCCAACCTTTCCAAGCCAGGCAATCTTGGCTAAGACTATTCAACTCCCAGCCCCTCATTTCCCAGCTGTACAATGGGGGTACAGCCCCACCTCATCAGAGACTGTGACAATTGGATAACGGAGTGGGTATCTTGTCTGTGGCCTCCCCACACACGTCTCTAGACACTGCATCATCCTGTCATTGTTTAGTCCCCAGGAGATCCTCCACCTGCTTATGGAAGGACACTCTGAAGCCTTTCAGCTCCTCTGTTCTCAGAAACTCTTTGCATGGAATCTCTTGGCTCTCCTCTGGGGGGAGGCTTGGAAGAGGCACTCTGGGAGACTCCAAACTGCTGTTTACACCCTCCTCCAACCTGGGTCAGGACATTGGGTCCCACTCACACAGGGCCATCAGGTTCACTGCCTCAGAAAGTGCTAACCTCAGGTATCAGGCTGGTCATATGGCCCAGAACACCCCAGTGCATCTCAGGAAAGGATGTCACAGAACCCAAGGGGCCTGGGGGAAGGGAAAGAAGCCCTCTATAGGTGCCACTGCCCACCCCTCAGGGCCTCTGAGCAAGGACACAACTCACTGTGCTGCTGACCTCAGGTCTGAAGGGGTTGGGAACCGGGGCAGGGGGCTGCTTCATGAGGACAGTGATATCACTCCTCTGTTCTCTGGGATAGTGCTCATTACCACAGCTGTCCAGGCTCAAAAGTCACAACAGGGTCAGCCTCCAGGCACCTGAGCAGCGTGCTGCCTGGCTCCTGTCAAAGGGAAGTTCACCTATTCCTGGGCCCTCAAATCCCCACTTTTACTCACCAGGACCTCCTCTGAGTCAAGGCCTGCAGGGTTTCAGAAACGGCAGGGAGTTTGGGCCAGGGCATCCCTCATCCTTCAACAAATGCCTCAGCTCTGTGGTCGGAATGCTGGGACTCCAACTTTGTAGCAGGTGGAGCTCTCTGAACTTCATTAGGCACGTAAATAACCAAAGGTCCACTAAATGCAAATTTCAATTCAGTGAGCATAGGTTCTGTATTTCCAATGTGCTGCCAGGTGACTCTGCTGCCAACCCTGAATTATACCAAGGACACAGGCTGACATGGTCTCAGAACTTTCTGACCCACCAGGGGACACAGCTGTTTTGGTTGCCTGGCCAACCCTTCTCGTCCCCACTTACCTACTCCCACAAGTGTGTGCCTAAGGAGCCTTGTCTTGTCTCTGTTCTGCTTCTGAGACCTCAGTCCAGAGAGTCTGGAGGACCTACCAGGGTCTCAGCAGCTGGGGGCTAGGCTCAGAAACTCTCCCCAAACCAGGGCCAGTGCTGTGAGGACTGGAAGGCCACTGCCCCTCTGCCCCTAAGGACACAGCCCCAAGGCCAGGGCAGGCTCCGGAGAGGCTTGGGTCACTCCGCAAGGCTCACGCAAGCCTGCAAGACCTAAGAAAATGAGGTTTACCCCCAAAGGCATGTGTCCTTGGACCGCAGTCCACCCTGGGGTCAAAGGAGCCCTACAGTCCAAGTGGTCAGAGAGGATGTTACCATCCGTCAGGGCAGCCACACGTAATCCCACCCACCTGCCCTAGAAGGTTGTAAGGACCACATTCCACATCTAGAGTAATTTTATTTATAGAAAAGGTGACAAGGGCTAGTCAGCCACAGTGGCCAGCTTGGCCAGAGCAGGTTAACAGTGAGGTCCACAAGGAACAGCCCCTCTCAGAGGCCAGCGGGTACATTGGGCTTCATGGGTGCACCTGGGGCTAGAAGGTGGGCTCCCCAGGAGCTCTGTCCATGGACAGTTGGTGCTGCTGGAAGGAGGGTCCATGGGTTGGTCCAGGAGGCCTGACTACAGCAGGGACAGAGACGGGCACCTGCCATCACCTTCCCACTTGCCCACAGGCTCTGGGCCCCTTTGCCTCAATGCCTGGAGATGCGCTGGTCTGGGTAGGATGGACAAAGCCAGGGAGGAGGTCTGGGCATGGCTTAGAAGCCCTTCTCGATGCTCAGGGTGCTCCGTGTGACGTGCTCCAGCTCCCCCGACACGTAGTCAGCCATGCTGATGCGGTAGTGTGCCAGCATCTTCAGCATAAGCCTCAGGTTCAGCCACCACTGCTCCCGGGGCATGCGGTGCCTGCAGTCAGGCGGGTAGCTCAGGGCTCAGTCCATATGCGCACACACCCACGCTCCCTCCCCTCCTACCTTCCCTGGGTTTCCAGTCCACAACCTGACCCCTAACCCCTGTGCCCTGCCCCACACTGCACACTCCTACCTCCCCCAGCTTCTCCAATCCCTGTGCTTGGCCCAGTTCCCACTGAGCCCCACCCTGCGCTCCCTGCACATCATGCCCCCCATGTACAAGCCCCTCCCTCTGAACACCACAAGCTGTCTTACAGCCCGGCCCCTCAGCAGTTGATCTACTTGAAAGATAAGATATGTGGTTGTGTGGGGACATGCCTTAGTGCCCTATCCCTCCAGGGCCTGGTACCAAGAAGGAGCCCCTAGGCCTGACCAGTCCCCAGGCTTCTCCAGGCTCCTCCTCCTTCACTCTACCCCCACCCCACGTTCTGCCCTTGGAAGACTGTGGGAGTGGAGCAGGGCCTAGAGTGACAGCCCTGAGTTTGAGGCCTGCTCTGAGTATCTTCACAAGACCCCAGGCCTGACCTTGGGGATAGGCACAGCCTGGGGTGGGACTTACTCAAAGTCCGTATCTTTCTTGAGCTCTGTGACAGGGCTAAAGGCCACTGCCTTCTTCTTCAGGCCGATCACGCAGGCTGAGTCAGGAGTATTGGCGAACACCCGCCCTGTGGATTGAGGCAGGTGTCAGGAGCCAAGCCCTGCACAGGGCAGGCAGGGCTCACGGCCACTGGCCCCCACCCCATGCATGTACCCTTGCGGTAGACTGCCTGCAGCTTCTCCGACATCCACAGCATGGCCTTCACCCCCAGCTTGGTGCCATAGTTTCGGTCAAAGGGGGTTGGAGCGCCACCCTGCAAGCAGAAGGGGTAAGGCCACATAGGCCTGGGCAGGGAGAGGGAGCCCCAACCAGGGAGCAGCAATGAGCCCCACAGTGTGGCCATATCATGACCTCACGGGAAACCTTCCAGAGGAACTTCTGGATACTCTTACCCTTCCGACCTCTGCTTTTGCCAGTGCTATTCCCTCTTCCTGGAGGGCCTGGTTACTTTTCTCCACTTCCTCACTGTGGCAGGCAGAGGGCTGCCAGGTCACTGGGCTGGGATGACCCCAGTGATCCCCATCAGTAAGCTATAACTCCCATGGGAGAGGGAGGCCAGACAAAAGGACTTGGACCTCATGTCAGGCGTGATCCTGCAGTCACTGAGGTGGATGGCACACCAGGGTTTAGATGTTCAGGTGGTGGTCACAGGAAGACAAAAGACACTGTAGGCAACCTAGCAAAGAACTTGGAGCAGGACTTGGGGTTGGGGTTTGACTGCCCCCTATTTCCTGTAAGAACTCAGCAAGACACAAAACCTCTCTAAGCCTCTGTCTGGGACTCCATGGCCCCAGAAAAGAGATGGGGAGATAAAGGGGCTGGGCTCCTGACATATGGAAAAACCCTGGCTCTGACCAGGGGCTCCACCTTCCAGAATGTGCCTCCCCTACCTGTTGCAGGTGGCCCAGAACATTGGTCCTGCAGTCAAATACACCCTTCCCTTCTGACGAATACAGGTTATACAGGAACTCCGTGGTGTAGTATTCATGGGACTTCTCATTTCTGGCAGAAGGAACCAGAGGGGAGCTGGGTTAAGTGGCGCTAGTTTAATCTTAAACTGCAGGATCTGACCACAGGCTGGGTTTGGGAGAGGCAACGCTGATGCTCTTGGGAAAGCCACATCCCCAATCCCTTCCCAAGGCCTTTTGCTGCCCAGCTGCCCCTCCAACAGCCACTTGGTAGCTTTCCCACTCCACCAGCCCCTCAGGTCTGGAAGCATTCACTGAAGCTCGGCAGACCTCACCCCTCCCAGGCTCCCTACACCCAGGCCCCAAGCAGCCGCACCGAAGCACCAGGCCCCTCTGGATCTCTGTCTTCATCTTCTCCGTCATATGCTCCACATTTGCCTGAAGAGAAGAAGGGACACACATGGAATGGTCTCAGTGTCCTGGAGGGGCCAGACAAGCACTGGTCTGCAGCCCCAAGGCTGTCTGGGGAGGAATTCCAAGCAAAGGATGGGCAGGTCAACAATGTGGCCCGAGGCCACTTCAGATGGGGTGGGGGATGGGGAGAATGATGTAGGAATGCTGAGGGTGACAGGCATGGAAGGTGGGGGCATGTGTGCAGGGCCTGAGGCTGGACAGGGCATGGGCACTTTGGGAAAAGTATGCTAGGCAAAGAAGCATGAAGAAAACCAAAGATACATGGAAAGAATTACTCAAAGGGACTAGTGGGCCATGTGAACGTCAGCCTCTATGACCATGAGATCAGAAGAATTAGATGATGCCAGGCTGCCACTGTCAACCACTTGGAAAGGGATCAGTACAGGAGATCCTGGATAGAGTGGGAGAACAATATGGAACAAAAATCACAATCATAAAAAAAGACCAGGTTTACTGGTCTGATGGAGCCTGGTGAGACCTCTGAGACTACAGCCCCTAGTTACCCTTCAGTTCCAGAACTGAACTCACTCCCATGGCTTCCAGCCAAATAATAGACAAGCATATGGGGTGAACATTTACATCAGGTGGATACACTCTTTAGAGCAATCAATCATGAGAAAACAGAAGGGCAGTATTTTTACAGGGAGATAGCTCAAGGGGCAGGAATGCATAGGAAAGAAGGACACAGGGAAGAAGTAACTACAGGGAGGAAGTAGGAAGAGAGCTATTACATTGTGGGGAATTGCAGTCAATGTCATGAAACAAAATGTGTATGAACTGCTCTGTGGAAAATGAATTTGCTGTGTAAACTTTCACCCAAATCACAATAAAAATTAAAAAAAAATAAAACTCTACTCAGCCAAAGGTAGCAACTGGACTTGAAGCCAGGCAGGGTGGGGCATGGCCACAGTTTCAAGGGAGAGGGCATGGGGGATGGTAGGCTGGGGTTTTCAAATAGGCCATGAGCTCCAAGGCAGTCAGGTCATGACTCCTTCACAGCATGCCCAGCCTGGTTGAACCCCAACCTCACACATGCCTCAGGAGCAGACCAGGTCCAGCCCTGTGGGGTGGACCATGGGGGTGGTCTGCAGTGGGCTGGGAATGGGGACTGAGGACAGGGGTGAGCTGGGCACACCTTTAGGTCATGGATGTTGAATGGGTCCTCGAAAACGTAGGCAGCATCGGCACCCACAGCAATGCCTGTCACGGTGGCCAGGTAGCCGCAGTAGCCTCCCATGGTCTCCACGATGAACACACGACGCTTGGTCCCTGACGCTGACTGCTTAATGCGGTCACAGCTCTGCAGGGCCACAGGGTTGTCAGGGTCTCCATACCCCTCCCTGTGATAGGCAGGGACCTAGTCGCTCTACCCAATAAAGTGGCCCCATACATGGACTTGGGAAGAGCCAAAGGCTGGAGAAGGGGAGGCCAGTGGGAAGTGAGAGGAAATACCCATACACAAGGGTGGTCTTAGGGGCCAGAGCTGGCCTGTGCTTGCTAGGGGGTTGGGGAAGTTTCTACTTATTGGAACTGTGCCCCTTAGTGTGGGCTTCTGCAAAGGGAGCTCCATCCCTGAAGGCACTCAAAAGGAAAGTTGAAGGGGTGCAAAATTCCCTCAAAAGGCTCCTGAGGAGGTTCTGAGGTTTAGACTTTCACCCACATCTCAAGGGCAATGCATCCTCAAAGTCCAGGCCAGGTCCTTATACATCAATCCTTTCTGTACCCTCAAGGTCCCATGCCCCAGGCCTCCCCATCCTCCTCAGCCACAGCGAGTCTCTCCAGGTGTTTTCCTTCTTCCTGTAGCCCTTCTCATCCTCAGCCCCAAGCCCCCTGCACTCCCACTGCAGTACCCATCCAGGTGTGTGCCCAGTCTAGACTGAACAGGGGTGCCAGCATTGGGATACCCTGTCCTGGTTCAAGAAAACCAAGAGACCCCATGGTCTACCACAGGGTCATACAGCAGGGCATATCTGCCCTAGGAGCCCATCTTTGGCTCTGAATTTCCCCAAGCAAGTCATGTGAGGGATGCCCTCAGCAGGAGGGACCATGCCCCAGCATCTAGGGTGGAAGGGATAGAAGGGTGGGATCAGTAAGAAGAAGTCTATAGAGTGAGCCCCAGGATGGGGGTGAGGTGCCCTGGCACTGCACCTCCATGGCAGCATTGACGGCGGTGTCGGAGCCCAGGCTGAAGTCGGTGCCAGGCACGTTGTTGCTGATGGTGGCCGGGATGACGCACATGACAATGCAGAGCTCCTCATAGTGCCCACGCGCCTCCACCAGCTGCAGCACGCCCTCATAGGCCTGTGGTCAGGAAGGGGGGCTGCAGTGGATGGGCTCAGACAGGGCCGCAGGCCTGCTCCGCAACCCTTCTCATTCCCCTTCCCAAAACTGGGCCAGGAGGCAGGAGTCATGCCCAAGAGCTCAGTGGCCTGCTGTGGGCCCAGTGTAATCTAAGGATACCTTGCTTCCCAGGAGACTAGGCTGGACTTAGCCCACGGGGGATGCCCCCGTCCACCCTCCTCTACCTCAACCTCACTCCCACAGTCTGAACAGGCTCAGCTTTTTGAGGAAAGGGGAAAGAACCATTGTTTATTCATTTTTTATTAATTGATTGCCAGTCCAGCCTATCCAGCCCATCCAGGGCCATCTTGCTTAGCACTCACTCTGTGAGATACATGCTATGACCTGCACAGGTAGCCTGAAGCCAGACACTCAGGTCCCTCCTGCCCCAAACTTCTACCCCTGGAGGCAAAATTGAGTGCTCTCTCTCCTTAGGCTCAGAGCTAAGGAGGCAGGTACTTCCTCCCCCTCTTCCCCTTTTTCTTCCACCTCTTCCTGCTCCTTCCCTTCCTCCTTCCCTACTTCATTCCCACTTCCTCTTCCCCTTTCCCCCTTCCTCCTCTTTGACCTTCTCCTTCCCTCCCCTATTTCCCCCTCATTCTCTTCCTCTTCCTTCTCCTCCCCTGCACCTCCACCTTCCCCAGCACTCATTTGTACTTGGTGAAAGATAAAACCTCCAAATCCACCTCCAGTTACAAACACTTCTCACAGGGGAGTCCTGCTCAGCCCCGCTGGCTCATGGAAACACTCCCAACAGGTAGATTTTCTGGAAGGGCCACCTCAGCAGAGGGGAGCTGCTCCTGGGGTCTCACTGTCCCAGCTGTCACTGAGGGCAGCCCGCTCACCTCAAACCCGCCGACAACCAGCAGGGCATGGATGTTGTGGATGCGGATGTTGTCTACAATCTTCTCCACGTAGCTCTTGGGAAGGGTCCTGCAGCCAGACACAATCACAAAGTAAACACGCATGAACACATGTGAACATGGGTCACGCCTGTCACTCCAGCCCAGGGCTGGAAAGACACATATCACATTCCCTCTGATCACAGAATAGACCATTCCTGGGCCATCCCCAAACCAATGAGTCCCTGGAAACCCTCTGGGATGTGGTGACATGACGTCAACTTTAGAGCTGAGAAGACAGATGCTCAGCACCTGGGAGTGGGTGTGTAATTCCACGGGCTCCCCCTCATCGAGAAGGGCAGCTGGGACCCTCCTCCCACCTCGGCTTCCAATCTCAGTTCTCCACCCTGTGGTGCCAGCCTCTCTGCCCTGGGAGACCCAGCCCTTATCCTCCCCTCTAGGACCCAGGGACCTGGGCCAGCCACTGCTTTTCTGGCTGCAGGCCTGGCCTGGAGCCACCACTGCTTTTCCTGAGGCCTTAGCTTCCCTGAGGGGGACACAGAGGCAACGTGAGTTGCTTCCTCAGGCCTCTCTAGCCAATTAGAGTGGGATGGGGCAGCTAGTTCCTGCAGCTGCCCAAGGCAACAATCCCTCTCCATGGCTACTCCAGGGAGCTTCCCAGGCCCTTGTGGCTCCCCTCCTTCCCTAAGCAGGTGCAGAGACCACCAGGCCCTAAGATGACATGACCACAGATGGCAGAACATGCATGGACACCTCTTCCCCCTCTTCCCTCCTTCCTGTCCCCAGGAGAGCTGACCAAGTACCCACTGTAGGCCTATAGCCACCTGAGCAGCATTCCCTCATACAAGTGACCTTATCAGGTGAGCTCCCACCAGGGAGGCCCTCACAAGAGGGCCAGCTCAGAGCCGATCACCTACCCAAAACGGGTTCCCTTCCCAGGGCCTCAGGCTGTCCTCCCCTGGCAGCCTGGAGACCATGCCAGAGATTGCCCACCCCCAATGCCCACATGGCCAGAGAGCCTGGGCCTCAGAAGCACCTCACCTCTTGGTTCCCAGCATTGAGCCACCACGCCCCAACCAGCCAGCCACATCATGCCAGCATACTTCCTGCACCTGTCAGGGGAGGCTCAGCTTTAAGAGGGTCGGGTCAGATAATTTACACCAGCTCTCTGCTCTTTGGGTAGGGGAGGTCCCTGTGCTGGAGGTCGGGATTGCAGACATGGTCCTAGTCTCTGGGTGCTTAAGGTTGGTGAGGGTAGCATGGCTGCCAGCACTCACACCTCCATCACCTATCACCCAAAAGGGTCTCTGGTTTGCCTTCTTCATTCACCTGAACTGGACCATTTCACAAGGCTGCACGTCACAAGCAAACTGGGGCTAAGCTATGAACAAGCCAACAAACACACCAGCCCAGTCCCAACAGGGAAGCAGCCCTGGTCCTCAGCCCCTGGCCACCACCTACCTGTCCTTTGGCCAGCCCCTCAAAGCCGTCGTGCACAACGTAGACCGTGTGGCCGTGGCAGATGCCAGTGCGTACTGCTGCACGCACGGCCGCATTCATGCCAGCCGCCGGGGCCCCCACATTCAGGATGGCAAGGGAGAAGTTGGTCTTTGAAGAGAAGTGGAAGGAGATAAGAATGTGAGACATAGTGGGGTGGGGCAGGCTCTTTCAAGTCCAGGAAAAGGGGCCCAGGTGCTCAAGCAGTCACACTGCCAGCAAGGCAGCTCCCTGGAACAGACACATCTGTCCTGCTAACTTCAGCAGATTTTTATAATGGCCAATGGAGGCATTATACCTCTCCAACTGATGAATAGCCAAGGCCTCAAGCAGAGTGGTGAGCATAAATGCCACCGTGAGTAACAGTCAGGCTGTAGAGCACCTGCCGAAGCCTTCAACCGTAACCTCACTCCTCAGGGCCAGAGCAGCCCCCAAAACTTCTCCCCCAAGAGAGACAAGGCCAGTACAGCTATACTTCTAAAGGTGCTGGTGGCCACAGCTGGTATCGGATTACCCAAAAAGCAAGGTAAGCACAGGCTCACTTGTGCTTACTTATAATCTGTAGTGAACAGTTTCACATTTTTTTTACCATATCAAAGATTCTGCTTCTAGGTATGGCTAGCATCTGTCTTCCTCCTAACCCACAGTATCTTCCTATAGAATCAAGCCTCTTTTCAAATACACAATCCCTGACAGTAACCTATAAGGAACATAAGTATTTATTACAGATTAGTGAGTAAGGTTGGGCATTCCTACTTCCGTAGTGATACTGCCTCGGAAACCCAAGGAGGGGTCGCTATGAGTCGGGGCCGACTCGACAGCACATAACAACAACAACAAGTGAGTAAGCACAAATAAGCCCATGCTTACCTTGCTTATTGGGTAATCCACCCTTGATAAGGAAGTACAAAGAAACCAAAACCAAAACAAAACAAAAAAAACAGTTGCCATTGAGTTGTCTCTGACCCATGACAACCCTGTGTGTGGGAGTAGAACCGTGCACGGTCCATACAGTTTTCAACACCTGATTTTTTGAAATTCAGTGTCTAGATTGCCAGGCCTTTCTTCTGAGGCACTCTGGGTGGACTTGAACCTCCAACCCTTCAGGTAGGAGCTGAGCACATAACCATTTGCATCACCCAGGGACTTAAAAAAAAAACAAAACTGAATGCAATTTGAAAACTATAGTTAATTTAACCCAATACATCCCGAATATGATCCCTCTGACCTGGAATCAGTACACTAAATCACTGATGAGAGTGTACATTCTGTCTTCACACAAAATCTTTGGAATTAGTGTTGTTTGGCACGTCAGCTCGTCTCACTCAGACCAGTTGCATTTTGAGTGTTTTGTGGCACCTGTGGCTGGTGGCTCCATGCCGGGCAGTGGGCTCTAAGTATCCCCTAGTATCCAGTAACCAGCCAGCCTACTGCCCCAGAAGCAGTACTGCCCCAGACCCATCCTGGGAGTAATATGGAGGCTCATCTGTCTCCCCATAGCCTGGTACTGACAGTGTTTGGGATAAAAGGAGTTGAAGAAAACAGGACACTCAGAGATGAGCTCTCACAGATGGGTGCCTGGATGCCCACCCTACACCACCACCACAAGGTGGGCAGCAGAAATACAACAACTAGTCCCTACAGTGGCCATCACATCTGCCAGGGCTCACTGCTTTGTGCCAGCTGCCACACCGTGCCCCCACCCTTCCGGGGGAAGACTGGCCTTATCCTCATTTTGTAGCTGAAGAGACTGTGGGTGAGGGTGGGGGTTGGAGGTTAAGCAGTCTCTCATCCAAGGCAGATCCTATAGCACCAAGAATCAATCTTACGTCTGTGCTGCCATCTCACCCATGTGGGTTAGTAAAGGGGTGTGTCCACCCTCATGACACCCCAGGGAGGCAGTGAGTATGCATAGGCAGAGAACAGACCGAAACAGAGGGGACCTCCTGGCTGCCCCAGTCCCAGGGACAAATACTCACAGAGGAGAGTCTGGCAACAGAGGATGGTGGAGGCTTGGGTAAAGGACAGAGCCCTGGCAGAGCAACTGGCCCAACTGAGCAAGGGGGAGGTGGCTCCCTGGTGTGCTCACAGACTCTGGTCCTCAGCCCCTCTCCTACCCCTGGCCCCCAGCCTCTGGCCAAATTGGACTTCTGCATCCTCCACCTGCTAGCCCCATGTGATGGCTCAAGGTGCATGGTGCCAAGACACCACTGTCTGTGACTACCTTGATAACATCCTTTCCTTGTCTCACAGTCATTCAGAAATGTCTTTGATCAACCTGATTTTAAGAGAGCTCATTTCCTCAGGCTTTTGGCTATTTTAGCAAGCTTCATAAATGATCCCTCCTCCCTGAGTTAAATGTATTAACCTGACCTAGATTTTCCTCAGCTCTTTGTGAAGCAGCCAGGCAACAGCACGCTTGGTGCTCCCTGCCTCTCCAGACATGGGCTGTCAGGATCCACAGGCAAGCAGCACTGGGGCCTGCAGCGGCCAGAGCCAGGCACACAGAAGAGATCACAGCAGAAGGGGCTGTGACTCAGTGGGGCCAGCACCAGCTCACAGGGGCACCCTGAAGCTGCGTATAAAGGCACATTTGCAGCAGGGGCCAGCATGGAGGCTGCAGAGAGAAGAGGACCAGAGGCCCTGTCATGCACGCACCTTACCTTCTCTTTGGCGATCTTCTGGTGCGCAAGGCGCTTATAGATGTTCCAGTTGTTCTCGAAGCTCCTAAAAAGGAAGCTGGTCATGCACCACACAGCCTGTAGCTCAGCACATAGCCACATGAACAGAAGGTCACACGGTCTCAGGAAGCATGACATGTGGCTCAGCATGCAGTCACAAAGACACAGAGTCACACAGCACATGGCCCCACAACTAAGTAGGTCACACAGCATGAAGCTCAGGCAGCAACGTGGTACGCAATCATACAGTACACACGCAGTATGCAACAACACAGCACAGGGCCCTGCAGCTCAGTCCTGCAGCAGGTGGCTTGCAACTCAGCCACAGAGGAGCTGGACACATACAGAGTCCAAGGAAACTGGCCACACAGCAGCCCACAGTTCAATCACAAAGGAGCTGGACATGTGCGGAGTGCCACTCAAACCCACAATCCCTCAGTTAGGTGCCACTGCTTGAAGGTATAAGATGCCATAGCCTGAAGGCCCACTGAACACGAGATGGCAACATCTCCCATAGCACAGTCCACACCCCATGTCCACCTGTGCATACCGAGGCTCTTCAGCAGTTTCCAGGCAGCACCTTCCAGCCCCTTGATCTGTGCCTGCATTCTCACACTGCCCACTCCACGGCACCATGTCCACTGGCCTCCGCCTGTCTCTCCCACCCACGAGACTGCTCCTTCCCCTTGCTGTTGTTGTTAGGTGCTGTCGAGTTGGACCCGACTCATAGCGACCCCTCCTTGGGTTTCCGAGGCAGTATCACTACGGAAGGAGATTGCCCCATCTTCCTTCTGAGGAGTGGCTGATGGGTTTGAACTGCCAGCCTTCTGGTTAGCAGTCAAGTGCCTTAGGCTCCTTAGTTCAACTTCAGAACTCTGGAGAGAGTTCCAGGCTGAACCCGCAGCCTGCCTCTTCCTCACACTCAGGGCACGCCACAGCCTAGGCATAGCTGTGAGAGGGCCATGTGAGCCAGCAGATCCCTCAAACATGCCCCCTGGGCCTCACCTGCCCCGGAGCTGGATGGCCTCCTCAAAACGTTTCTCGTCCATGGCCTTCTGCACTTCCTTCGTCTTAGAGAGGAGAAACAGAGCACAAGGGCAGGGCCTGGCACATACACATTCACTGCCAGGCCGAGCCCAGCCAGGGGAGGGAAAGACAATCCCAGACTTGTTGCTAGAGCAACAGCCACTGCACAGGCCAACTCTCAAGAAGGTAGGGAGACCCACAGGGCCGGCCCTGGGCCCCACTCGTCTTCGGTTTCCAGGGGCCTAGCCAGGGCATGAGGAACAGAGGGTGGGGCTGGTCAAGCCTGCCCCAAACCAAACCCAACTAAGGTCACAGCAAGAGGCTCTTCAAAGGGAAGTACCACATCTCCCCCTCTGACTCATCAGCCCATCCTTCCCTCACCAGCCCTGCTCTGGCCCGCAGCTGCAGGGCCCCTGAAACCTGCTGAGTCAGACTTATTGACTCCCTTGGCTCCACCTAACAACCCCTGGAATCACTCAGCACCCCTTGGCTCACCCTGGATCCCCATGGCACCCCTCAACTCACCCTGGATTCCCCATTTCCCTTCATGTGCTCCTCTGTTGATCCCCCACCTCCAGCTGCCCCCTGGATCCTTACAATTTTAATACCTCTCTAGGGGCCTGTCTGAAGTCCCACCTTACAGATATGATCACATTTCCCTCTCTTATCAGTTGACAGGGGCCTGGAAAGCTTGGCCCCACTAGACATCCAACATGCAGGCTTTGGGTTTCCCCAGAAGCAGGGGTGTGACTAAATTGAAAGGGTGGAGCTGAGTGGTGGAGGCATGGCCAAGAGAAAGAAGCCTGGCCAAACAGTGGGAGCACCCGAGTGCTTAGTACTCACCATCTGCACACACTCCATGAGGGGCAGCCGCACTGACTGGTTCCCCGAGAGGCTGACCACGCAGGCTGGTGTTTCAGGTGTGGCTTCCAGGAGTGCCATCACCGCCTCCATGCCCATCTTGCTACTCTACATGAGGAGAAGGGTGGGTTGGCTTCTAGGGACTGGCCTACCCCCAACCACACATGCACACATGAAAACACATGTGTGCACACACATTCAAACAATACCCCACCTACCAGGACACGGTCAAACGCTGAAGGGGTCCCTCCCCTCTGTACATGGCCCAGCACGGTCACGCGTGTGTCAAAGCCCAGCCGCTGGACCACCAACTGCTCAGAGGGAGATACAGTCAGAAGTCCCAGGACTCACTTCCCCAGCCCCAGCCTAGCTACAGGCATTCTAACCTGTTTAGCACCCCTGCCCTATCACAAAGACTCCAGGGTATCAGCCAACCAGGTCCCCCACAGAGTTGGCCTGGGGTCCATGCCCACAGCCTTTAAGTGTGGGGTCAGAATCCATCAGGCCATGGTTCTTAGGTCACAGTGCATAGAGAGAGCCACCGATGAGGAAATGCTAGCTGGAGACAGGATCACCCACTCCAGGATCACTCCACTCCACCCCTTACCCACCCACGGTGGCCAGCGGGTAAGGGGGTATGGTCGGGCAGGGTCAGTCATTGGTTTGGCTGCTTTGGGCAGAGGAAGGGGGACTGGACTGCAGGGAGCATGTCCTAAATGAGGACAGAAACCAAAGAGTCTGGGCTCCCTCAATCTCTGGGCCGGGCACAGGTTCAGGCCTGAGTCCAGGGCTTCTCAGGTACCCAACCACATCCACCCACACCTGCTTATCGCTTGGAAGGAAAGATCTTCCATTGCCCCATCCCTGGAACAGAGCTGACCCCCAAATCTGACCAAAATAAAGCACCTCTCTGGTATGCTAGAGTGGGAGTCTAAGCATGAGGGCACAAAGAAGTGCCCCACCCACTCCCAACTATGTGACCCTGTGCCTTGCCTCATCCATGTGACAGGGCCTCCCAGCCCCTTACTGGCACACTTACATCCTTCACGTAGCTGGATGTGATGGGCTTCCCATTGCGGTCGATGGCGCCCTCAGCGATGATGATGATGTTCAGTCGGGACCCACGACTCCGAGTCTACTCCAAAGACAAACCGCTGGGCTCAGCCATCTGCCCCGACACAGCCACCAGCTGCTCTGGAGTGGCCTCCACCCCTACACTGCCATCCTTCAGTAGGGTCCTGGCCCCGCCCACTACAGTGCTCACTAGTTCATAGTCCTCCCAACCCACATGAGGTACGCAAAATCACCCCTATTCTGCAGAGAGGAAATGAGACCTAAGGGGCTTGAGGTCACCTCTTGGAGAATGGGCCTGAGGTCAGCCCACAGGGCCTCTGGTCAAGGAAGAGTGAGGGGCAGAAAGGGAGGAAGAGCTTGATGGGTGTAAGCTGGGGGGCTCTTGACCTACCAGTCTGAGGAACGGGGCTACTGAGAAGGGTACCCTTGGGGCTGGGCCCAAGGCAGACAGCACAGTGGGGTCAGGTCTGGGTAAGGCAGGCTTGGAGAAGCCCCTTGTGCTCCTAGAGGAGGGCTCTTGAGCACCAGAGCTGGAATGCTTTTGAGGGAGGACAGGGGTGGCAGGAATTGGCACTGTGTCCCAGAGCCATTAGGCTCACAGCTAACTGGACAGTCGGGTCTCCACGAGTCCCACCTCAGAGTGCTGGCCACAGACCAGTGCTTCCCAGAGCCCTGCGGCCTGGAAACAGTCCCCTTCTCCAGTCCCTCTCCAGGGCTGTAGGTAGAGCCACATACACCACCCCCTATACTGGCCATGCCCCAGTCTCTGAGTGGGCATTATGTTCTCATTGTTGGCAGTGCACCACAAGATTTCAAAACACTCTCTTGTTTATTCATACAACACTACAACAATGTGGGACTACTCAGATCCACAGACGGGGTGGGTCAGCTCACCTGAGTCAAAGGAGCAATGGCGGGAGGGAGGCTGTTTGGATGAGGAGGTACTGGTGGTGGGGGTAGGCTCTGACACTCAAAGATGGGGCTACATGTTGGGGAGAAGAGCTGGACCCTCCCTGAACCCCCAGCACAGCAGCCAGGTGGGGGAAGGGACACCCACATGTGACAAGTAGAGAGACTGAGGCTCAGGGCACTCCAATGAGGCCTGAGAGCTAGATAGAGCCAGGGGTTGGTGTCCAGATCCAGGTCCTTCCAGAAGATCTTCATCAACTGGAAGGCTCCGCCCAAGTTCAATAGTGAGTATGCCAAGGCCAGAGGCTGTTGAGGCCATGGTCACCCAGAGCTACCAAAACCAATCCACCTGGTTAAGAGCACACTGCGGCAAGGCCTCCAGGATGACAGGACCCCACACAGAATTGTGGCCAAGAAAGAACAGGGGCCTCCCAGGTCACAGCCTCCAGCCAGCCTTATCTGCTAGGCTCCGCCTCCACCCTGCCCCTTCATGTTCCTGGAAGGTTCTGGAAGCCAGGCTATAACCTTTGGCCCTGGATGGGACAGAGCTACACAACCACATAGAGGCAGTGCCACCATTACCACCACAGCACAATATGCTAGAAGAAGGAGAAGCAGCCCCAGGCTGCCTGCTGACCCCAGGCTCATCCTGAGAGTGAGGTGTGGGTAGGGATGGGGGGTGCAGGTGATGCTTTTCCAACTCAGAAGACTGAGGAAACCCAGGCTCTGATCCTGGGACTCCAGAAACAAAAGGAGAAAGAGCCAGAGCCACTGGGGAGACAAAGGGATAGAGGCCCAGGGGAAAGATGGTCTCACACACATAGCAACCGTGAGAGGGATGTTGGGAGGACAGGAAGCGGAGAAAGCTCCTTTCCTCTCTGCAGAGACCCCCAATATTACCTTCAGCGGCCAGCCTGCCTTCCTGCATCACCACCCCTCAATCACTGTCCCAGGGCTTTTGCACTGACAGTGCCTTTTGGCCCCTGACTTCCCCACAGCAGCTCCCTCAAACCCCCCTCCTCTTCAGACATCCTTCTGCCCACCCAGCACTGCTCCCTCACCTGCCCCACTCCTTCCTAGAGCACTGAGCCCATCTGCCCTTCCCTGGATGGGCAATGACCAGCCCTGCCCTTCATGGAATCCCCAGCCAAAGACTGGGCTAATGTGGATACTTTCCCCTAGCTGTCAGGGCCTGGGCCCAGAGAAGCCATTTAACACCCTTCAACACATGCCTTCCCTCCAAGGCCCAAGTCTCATCCCCATGGATGTGCCAGGGCTGGAGGGCAGCCTGCCTGCACTAGCCATGTGCCACCTGCCTTAACCTCTCTCTGGATAGGAATAAGCTCAAAGCTCCCAGGGCTCCCAACTGCCCTCAGGAGAAAGTGCAAACCTTCACCAGGTGGAGGAGCTGCCCACTGCACCACAGGCCCGTCCTTGCCTATATACTCATCTTCACAAGGCCACCTCCCACAATCCTCAGATCAGTGGTTACAACCCCCAAGAAGCCAGCCTGATCATGCATCACACTTCCGGACCTTCTGGGCACCCACTAGAAGCAGCCTGACCACGTGGAAAGGCCTGGGCCTAGGACAGGGATTCACTGCCTTCTGCCTCTCACCTACCCTGCAGCAGGACAAGTGGGGCATCAACTTGTTTGTTGAACGCATGCATGAGCGAATGAACAGCAAAGCTGGCACAGATCCTCAGACGATGCCCAGAAGAACAAGGGCAGGAGGCACCTCTGTCTCAGCCCAAGTTTGCAAAGGACCCAGGGAGGAGTCACACTGCCACTCACCTCACCAAGCCGCTCGCACATGAAGTTCTCCCAGCCATCTTCAGGGGGCGCCTCGGGGATGAACAGCCAGTCAGCCCCGGAGGCCAGGGCAGACACCAGGGCCAGGTACCTGGGGTGAAGAGAGGCTGGGCAGCCACAGAGAGCCCCACCCAGTCTGCACAGCTGCCTCACCCAGGAGACTGACCCACGTGTGGCAGGGCCTCTGAGCCTGGCCCAGCACTAAGGACTCAGGACCCAGTCACTGGGGTCCTCCTACCCTGCTGAGGAGGTGCCTCTTCTTAGTCCTTCTCCCCTTCACCCAGCCCGAGACAGTGCTCTGCACACCCTAGCTCACTCCCACCCCACTATCCTTCATTCCTCCTCCTAGGTTAAATGAATGTGTGCCTGCTATGTGCACTGTGGTATATCGTGGGTATATTGTAGTATATTGTGGGTGTAGGACAGAGCAGTGGACAGGACAGCAAATCCACAGTATAACTGTCCCCTGTTCCTGCTCTCTAGAAACCGGCCCCAGAGGTCCGCCTTTCAGCTGACAAGGACACTTCCCCTCACCCATGTGCCCTCGATGACCAGGATGCCCCCTTACCCACAGTGACGCCCCATCACCTCCAGCACAAAGGTCCTCTGGTGGCTGTTGAGGTAGAACAGAATGTAAGGTATCAGTGCCTTCCTGTGCCATGCCTGCCTGCCAGACTCACTGGGAGTTCTGAGTGACATCTTGGACATGGAGCACAGATGAGGGATAGACACCCGGCCCCTTACACCCTGGGGAGCACATCTCAAGGCTAAAGGACACCTCGACCCCTGACAAGCCCTCAACCAACTTCCTACTTCGTTTCTGTTCTAGAGTGGAAAGCCATTCATCCACCCTAGTCTGGTCGCCCTGTCCAGCAGCCTGAGGACACTCTGCAGACACATGTCATCACTAAGAGTAGGTGAGTGGCCAGCAGAACCAGGCCACACTGCAAAGACCCCAAAGGAAAATGTCCAGAGGGTGAAGATAGACCCCAAGCCCTTACTTCTCCCTACAGGCATCTCTCCCTGCTGACAGATGAGGACACTGGCTGGACATCAGTGACACTGCACTGCCACCAGCAACAGTTTCCCCTGGCCTTCATTGCACCAGGCCTTGCAGCACCAGGCCCCCATTGCTCAGGCATGGAGAAGTGGTATAGTCGTGCTGACCTCTGGGCAGTGGTGGTAATGGCATCAATGACTTCCATGATGCGGTGCAGGGCCGAGTCAGTGCCAATGGTCATGTCTGTGCCACAGAAGTCATTGTCGATGGAGCCAACCAGCCCAGCAATGCTCAGGTGGGAGTAGGTCTGTGCTGTGCTCTCGGAGATCTTACCTGGGCAAGGGGTTACACGGGAGGGCTGGCTGAGTTCCAGCCCGATTGAGCTCCTGAAGCCACCACACTGGCCAGAGACCCCATAAAGCCAGCACAACACCCTCAACCACAACCCAACCAGCAGGTGGCCTAGCAGGTCCCAGAAGCCTCAAGCTCAGCCTCCTCCTCCCAGGAAGAACAAGGTCCCCTCACAGAGGAGGTGGAACTCATCACTCTGGTGGGACAACCCCAGGGCAGGCTTGGAGAGTGGACTGCACCCCTTTTCTCCATATGCCCCATACAAGGGAAGGGTGTCTCAAGTGTTTTCAAGTACATCCAAGAGATTGCTTTCTGACTTGTGACCTCAGGACTTTTAACTACATCTGCAAAGTGTGTTCTGGATCATGTCCAGGATGCTGTCAGGAACCATTAAACACAAAACTTGTCAATCAGCATAGGAGCCTGCTATGGGTTGAACTGTGTCTCCAGAAAAGATAGGTGGAAGTCCTAACCCCTGTACCTGAATGTGATCTTGTTTGCAAACAGGGCCATTGAGATTGTTACCAGTTAACATGAGACATACTGGAGTAAGTATGGAGTAAGAGACAGCCCCTGGACTGTCTACTTGAGTGATGTCTTTATAAAAGAGAAGAGACAGAGAGACACACACAGAGAGGAAGACGGTCATGTGAAGATGACAAGGCAAGGAACACCTGCTGCTACCAGAATTTGGAGAGACAAGGGAGGATCTTCTTGAGAGACTTCAGAGGGAGTGTGACCCTGCCAGTACCCAGCACTTGGAGTCACAGCCTCCAAAGTGTGCAACAATAAATTTCTTTCGTTTCTAGCCACTCATTTTGTAGTACTTTGCTACAGCAACCCTATAAGACTCATAGAGAGAGACTTCCAAGCGTGCTTCTGGTATTCCAGTCCCTGGTTCCTCTAAGCCTCTCAGAGTTGTGGGTCTTTGATGTATTTATCTATACCAGTATCACTGCACTGTGGGATGAGAGGATATGACCTATGTAATTTCCACTTGCAAAATTTATTAAGGTGTGTGCTTTTTTCTTTTTCATATTCCATGGACTTCCTCTGCTTCCAGGATCCAAAAGAGATGTTTCTGAATCTCCCTTTCTGCCTCTGTGTTTTCAAACACCACCTATGGAGATGGTCTGCTCACTGTCCATCTTCCTGGGTTTTTTGTTGTTGGTTGAAATTTGTAATTGGAGTAGCTTTGCTACTTTTCAAAGACCAAAGTGCTTTTACAGGGTCAATCAAAACACAGTATCAGTTAGCAGATGTTTTTCTAACAAACCACTAAGTATTTTAACATCAATCCAAGTACTGCAGTCTACCCCATGGGTAGCCTGAATGCTTCCTGTGTTGCCAGAGTGGCAGACGGGAGTCAGGGAGTGGACCCCACACTCCTTGTCTGGAAACTGTCCCAGGTGGCTGTCCAGGACTGACATCTGGCTGGGAGCTGCTTCCTGCCCAGGCCAGCAGTGCATCCATCAGTCAGGTACCAGACCCAAGGACAACTTGGCCAAGTGCGGCCACTTGCCCGGGCCAGCAGCACGTCTGCTGGGCCACTTCCACGCTGGTCTCACCACAAACCCACCTTCCTCCACCAGTTCGGCCAGCAGGCTGCCCCACTCGCTGCGGAAGATATTGGCACCTGTAAGGCTGCCATCCCCACCAATAACACACAGGTTGCTGATGCCACGCTGGACCAGGTTGTAGGCTGCAGCCAGGCGTCCCTCCCTTGTGGTAAAGGCTTTGCAGCGAGCACTGCCAATGACGGTGCCGCCCTGCACAGGAGACAGGTTGTGGGCATGGGCAGCAAGGGTGAACAGCAAGGGGACTGGGCAGAGCCCACAGAACTGAGAAGTCCAGGGGCTGTCTCTCTGCCTCCTGGGCTTCTCCTCACCTGTGAGATGACGATAACATCACCCCTCAGGCTGGTGAGGATCAGAGTAGGTGAGGGAGTGAAGGGGTCGGGAAATTGTGCCACAAATACACACTCACACACATGCTACAGAGACACAGACACCCACTCACACTAGTACTGTCACACTCACACAAACACAGTCACACTTTCACATTTGTACACACACACTCACAGACATATGCTCACATTTACACATGCAAAGAAATACATTCACACACTCATATACAAACACACACACTCACACACACACACTCTCACATGCATTTCCCCCCCTTAGCTGGAAACTGAGGGTGAGATTGTAGCCAGAGTCCCCAGAGCCCATCTCAGCCACAGAACCCCATGACGTGGACAGCACGACCAGCCACAGAGCCAAAGCCAAGAAAGGGTGGACACACAGGCAGGGAGAGCCACCATGCTGCAAGCTCACCAGTTGAATGATGTTGGAGACACTGAGCCAATTGGCCTGCTTGATGTTCTCACCTCCTTCCACAAGGCCCTCATAGCCCTGAAACCAGAGAGGGACAGCAACATGGGCAGGCAGCCCAGGACAGCCAGACAAGCTCTGTCTGTCTGGGCTTCAGACTGCAGCCAAAACGTCCCCTCTAGGAAGCAGCAGGAGGCTCCTGACCACCTGACCCAGGGCCTTGGTCGATGAAGCCCATTCAGCTAGCAGTCATGAGGCTGCCCAAGAAAGAAGGCTGGTCTAACACCCACTGGGCCCAATCCCCTCCACCAGGTTCACAGTCTCATTATTGAATATAATACACATGCAGCAAAGTGCTCAGGCTGGAGAGGGCCTATTGGATGAGTCTCCTCAAGCTGAACACAGCATACACCTGGACCCAGGTGGGAACCTGAACAAGACCATTGCCCAGAGCCCCAGAGGTGCCTTCCAGTGACCTCCCTTCCTGGCCTCTCTCCCTGCACAGAGTGACTGGCTCTCCTTGCTCCCATGGTATAGATCCCTTCTGTTCATTCTAATCCTGACAGAGGTGAACACATAGGGTCCGTGTTCTTTGTATCTGGCTTCTTCTGCTCATATCATTTCTGTGAGGTGCAGCCATGTTGCTATGTGCAGCTGTACCTTTTCTGTGCTCTACCTGTCCCCTGCTGGTGGTCACAGGTGGCCCTCCGTGGGACTATTAGGAGCAAGGCTAATGAACATCCATGCCCCTGGATAGACATGTGGTTCATTTCAGGGGTGGGAGGGAGGTGGGCAGGCTGCCACCCACTAGGAGCACAAAGCATGAGAAATTTCTCAGGGGTCACAGGAGGACTATGGCACCCCAGTCTGAGGGACCTGGGAGCCACCTTCTTTGGCTCAGTGCAAACCAAGCTTCTCTCTCACTGGTCTGGGACTTGGCTGTCAGAACCCACACCAGCCCCCACCCATATACAGAAAAGGCAGAAAAGTGTCCTGAAAGTACATACTACCCAGGGAAGGGCAGCTATAAAACCCACAGATATATGTCTGCAAACACTGGGGACCAGGTCCAGCACCCAGTGTATGCCCATCCTGGCCTTTGACCCGCTGACCATGAGTCTCCAGCAGTCTCCAGAGACCCCAGCAGAGCAAGTCAAGTCAGCTCTGGCCAGCAGCTGACCATTTCTTCAAATCAAAGTCTCATAAACAGTCTCATAGCCTTGTTTCCTAGCCTTGGAACTTTCTAGAATGTCTTCGCACACTTCCAGTGACAGGGTGCTCATTTCTGACCAAGGTGGGAGACCCAGTGCACTTCTCAGCAGTTCACAGGTCCTCCCTGTGTTGAACTCTTAGCCTACAGGCCTAGTTCTGTCTTCTCAGCTGGTAAAAGCAGTCTTTTACTGAGTCCTTCTCAGTGCCAGGGACTATGGAATGTGCTTTCATATTCTGTTAGCTTTAATCCCTTAACATCATCATGAGGAAGAACTTGTTATTATCTTCATTTAACAGAAGACACTTAGGATCAGGGAAGTGAAGGACCACACCCAGTATCTCATGTGTACAACCTCAATCTCCCTGCCTGGAAGCCCATCTCCTGTTCACTAAACCAGACCACGTCCTGGAGAACCTCACAAAGGCCACCTCTCCTAGGCTCCTGAGGTCATGGACGCATGAGGCTCTCAGAAAATATAGCATAAGACTTTGAGGGGGTCACAGGCTTAATGCCAATGTAAGCCTGGGTCTGTGGCAACCAAGAAGTACGGCAAGGCTGAGAACAGGGGAAAAGAGGGGAGGCTAGGGGTTGATATATCTGATGCAAATATCAAAAACAAAGAATTACAACTAGAAAAGTACAAGGCAGTGCAGGAAATTCCATTGTCTAAAGAAAAGCCTGGCAATCTGCTTCTGCAAAGATTACAACCAAGAAAACCCTATGGAGCAGTTCTACTCTGTGCTCTGTGACACATGGGATCACCATGAGTCAGAATGAACTTGACGGTTGGCAAGAGTATGTAGAAATGCACAGGCTGACAGAGCAGGCCCCAATCTGCACCAGGGATGTGCCAGGGAAGGGGACTGAAGGATGGGTGGGTAAGTATGAGGCAAAGGGGCACCTACTGTGGCCACCTGCTCTCAGTTACAGGCCAACTAGAACCATAGAGCACTAGACTTGGTGATTTTGTAAGGAGGCTATTTATTGGCTGCTATGCCACCAAGGACCCAGGCAGGAGGGTGATGGCAGGGGAGCTAAGCAGGGGTGTGGTGGGTGGGCTCCTCACCTGCACTCTAGAGCTGGGGTCTGGCCCTTCCTGTATATCACACTCTGACCAGCCTCAGGGTGACCACTGCCCTCAAACCCTCAGGGCAGCCTTAAGGCTCCACAGCGACCAGTGACTACTTTCTGGGCAGAGCCATATTGCCCCATATCTTCTGCCTGACCACCTTATCACTTCTTCTATTCCTCTCCTCCTCACTCCAGCCCCTCCTACTGTTCCTCATCTCTTCTTCCCCCTCAATTCTCTACAGGCAGCCTTTGAACTTGAACCCACATTCCATCCTGGGCAGCAGAGACCTTGGCTGGGTTGACAGGCTCCCCCTCACACATCCTGGTAAGCTGTGGACACAGTGGATAACTGGAGGGCAGGCCATTCAAACCACCCACCACCTGGCACCTATTGCCCACCACCCAGCAGGGCTGGGCAGGCATGGACACCATGAAACCTTACCTCACAGATGAGGAAGACCTTGGCTCCCACGTAGATGCCCATGCGAGTCACAGCTCTGACGGCAGCATTCATGCCTATGAGGGGACCACAAGGATGTGTCATTCATGCAGGTGCCATGGTGATCAGAGGCCCTGATGTTTACGTGGCCTGGCCCAACCTCCCCCACCTCCCCTGTAGGGCTGCTGCCAGTGTCAAGAGGTCGAACCCCTACCCTGCCTGGTCGAACCCCTACCCTGCCTGCACTAGCCAGCAGACTCAGTGAGCTGGATTCTGCTATTACATGATGTCACAAATATTTGGAAACAGGATGCTTTACAGAAAAGCTAGGACAGTCCCCCAGCGAGGACACAGTCTAGCTTGAAGATGGAGGTCAGTGGTGTGCAAAAGTGAGACAAAGACTCTGGAACCCTGACACCACTGCGTGGGGAGAATGTGGACCACACAGAACTTGAGACAGATTCTGTGAGAAGGACAGAGCCCCTGGAGGAAAGACAGAGCCAAGGAGGGGCTGGGCGAGGAAGGGAAGAACAAAGATAGGTGAGGAAGCACCTGCTCTACACTTCCATTTCCCTGGCATTATGAAAGGGGATGAAGCCTATTCAGCCACCAAGGAATGTTCCAGATTATTTACGGCTCTCATTCCAATCCCTTGCTCCTTCAGCACCTCTGGTGCCCAGTGACAAAGCGGCCTACCTCCCCTCAGGCCCTGACCTTGGACACGACTAGTGAAGTTCCAGCCTCCTGCTAAGAAGCCAGGTGGGTGGCAGGAAGGCTGGAGCCCCTCTCCCTGGATGGAAGGAGAGGGAAAGTGGTGAGCAGAGCTAACCTTTCCATATGCCCTCCTCATTCTCAACTCCAAAATTTAGGCCATGCCTCTGCAGGGTTCTCTCCTGACCGCAGCACCTTGGAGACAGCCAGTGGGAAGGACTCTGGCCTCCGCAACTTCCCCAGGCAGCTCTGTGTCTTCAAGCCAAGGAGAAGACCTCTCCAGGAACTCACTTTGAGGACAGCCTGCCCTCCCTAAGAGTCTGGTTGTCAGGAGGCTGGAGCAGTCTCAGATGGTGCAGTTGGAGGGCCTCATGCTTCCAGTTCTCCAGCCCAAACATATACCCTGACGCCACCAGCCTCAGGTGTATCACCTACTCTCCCTGACACCCTAACCTCAGCCCTTAGGTCTGAGGTTGAAGAAAGAATGTCAGAGCAGCCACCCTGCAGAGAGCCGTTGGTGTCCTGATAAGATGAAACAGTTGTGAAGGGGGAGGAGATACACCTCAAGACTGCTTGAGCTGAGGGGAAGGAACCTTAGCTACATCTTTCACTACAGTTTGGAGACTGCACCAGGTTGAAAAGTGTCCCCCTAAAACTCATGTCCACCTGGAACCACAGAATGTGAACTTGTTTGCAAATAAGTCTTTGCAGAGGTAATTAAGTGAACTTGAGTTTATACTGGAGGTGGGTGGGTCCTAATCCTACATATTGTTATTGTGTGTGCCAACAAGTCAATTCTGACTCACAGCAACCCCCTACGACAGAGCAGAAGGAGCTCTGGTGGCATAGTGCCTATGGCATCTGACGGCTAACCAGAAGTTTGGCGGTTCAAACCCACCAGCCACTCTGCAGAAGGAAGACTGAGCAATCTACTTCCATAAGGATTTACCACCTTGGAAACCCAAGGGGGTCGCTATGAGTTAGAATCGATTTGATGGCAGTGAGTTTGGTTTTGGTTTGGATGACAGAGCAGAACTGACTCATAGGGTTTTCTAGGCTGTAACCTTTACAGGAGCAGATCGCTAGATCTTTTCTTCCATAGAGTTTCTCCCACAGGGTTAGAACCGCTGATCTTTCCATTAGCTACCCAGTGCTTAACTCCTGTGCCATCATGGCTCCTTAATTTTACATGATTGACATCCTATTAGAAGAGAAGAGACACAGACACATAGGAAGGAAGGCCATGTGAAGATGGAGGCAGAGATTGCAGTGACACAGCCACAAGCCAAGGGATCACCAGCAACCACCAGGAGCTGGAAGAGGCAAGGAAGGGTCCTCCCCTAGAGCCTTCATGGGGAGCCTGGCCATACTGATACCTTGATTTTGGATTTGTGATCTCCACAACTGTGAGAGAATAAATTTCTGCTGTTTTAACCCACACACTTTGTAGTAGTTTGTTATGGCAGCCACAAGACATTCATGCTAAGACCCAGAGATGACAAATATGTCTGTTTGCATTACATGGCCACCAAACATGTCACTCCAGTAACAGGACTTCCCATGGCAGTGGGGTGCCCTGGCTGGGAGGGGAGAGAGGTGGGCAGCTGAGAGCAGTAATGACAATAGCAGGGGCTGTGGCCACCGTCGGGACACAGTGGTTTGATCACCTCTCACTGTGCAGGAAGGTAGTAGACTGGTGGTGGTGAGTATGGTGACATTATCAGGACAAATGAACAGTGACACCACACCATCTTTCAGAAAGAAGTGAAAATGCAAAAGAGAGAAATGGGTGTCTGCAGAGAGGGCTGTCTTAGTTACCTAGTGCTGCTGTAACACAAATACCGTAAGAAACTAGATTTCTTGTCTCACAGTTCTAGAGGCTGAAAGTTCAAATCAGGGTCTCAGCCATGTCAGTTCCTTCCCTGCCAGCAGCCCTGGATGTTCTTTGCTTTCTGTGCTTATAGACAATCCTCACACAGCATCTGTCTTCCCCTGTGTGTGTCTCTCTATTCTGCTCTTTTTATAACTCAGAGATGATTAGGTTTAGGACCACCCTACTCTGGAAAGACCTCATTAGCATGACAAAAGAAAATCCTATTTCCAAACAGGATTCAACATATTTGGGGGGACATAATTCAAACCATAACAAGGGAGAAGGCAGAGTCGCTGAGGCTGGTATTGCCCCTAGAATTGGACAACTGGACTGATCTGCACCACAAGGTCCACAAGGCCTGGCACACTGCAGGTGCTCATGAAACTTGTCTTAAAGAAGTCCCATGTGCCTCATGAGAAGCACAGGCACCAACAGAGGCCAAGCGTGGTGGTCTCTGCTTGCTCCCTGGGAAGGATGAGGACATTCCTGGGAAGAAGACACTGGGAGTAGAGGGCTGTGCCAGAAGGGCTGCAATGGCTGTGGCTTACAAGATATCACACTGCGTATCTGGTCAGTGGCATGGCAACTGGCATGCTTGTGAGCCCAGCCCACACTGACTGTGGGCACAGTGGGTAGCCAGGCTGAGGCTGGGGGTGGGTGAGGGGCACAGAAACCCCTAATGCTAGCTGCTGGCAATTTACCTCAAAGCTTATCCCTTGAAAGCCCATATCACCAAAGATGCCAACAAATTGGTTCAGAAAAGGCAGAGGTGATGTCCCTTGTGTCCTCAGAGAGGAAGGAAGAAGTCCAGGGTCATCAGGCCAGGGGTTGGGCCTGCCCTGGACCCCATCCCACCCTCAGACACTGGGTGTGAAGGCCCTGGGAACATTGTGGCCACCCACCTGCCACCCATGAGCCCAAGGCTCCATGCACAGCCTATGATGATAAGCTGTCCCCAATCCAGTGACAGCATCTTCCCTGGAGAGCAAGTGTTGCTGTGCTCCCCCACAGGGACTCTTGCCCTCCCCAACCCCCTGGGCACATCGTCATGCTTATCTACTGGGCATCTAGTAAGAAAGTCGATACTTCCCCAGATCCCCTCATATGTGTATGGTTCATGTAGTGATCCAAGGGAAGACTCAGACCTTTGCCCTGATTACACAAATCTCACCTGGGGCACTTCCAGCTTGGAAGGCAGGACCTGGGTGTGAGTAGGTCTGGGAGGACAACACCTGACAGACAACAGAACCAATGGCAGAGCCTCTTACCATGCTGGGCATTTGCCACTATCCCCATTCTACATAAGGGAAAACCAAGGCAGCCATCCTCCTTGCCTTGCCCAGAGTGGAGGGTAACTGACACCCCCAGCCAGCCTGGAAGAGGGACAGCCAATGCCCCAGCCTGCTTTGAGGGTATAGCCCTCCTCCAGCCCTACACAGAGTAAAGGGCAGCCCTTCCTCATCCTGCTCCAAGGGGAAGTAACTAAAATGATCAGCCCAGCCAATAGCCTCTCCAAGGGTCACAGAGGACTGACAACACCCCTGTTGTTGTTGTTATGTGCCGTGGAATTATCTCCAACTCATAGCAACCCCTCCTTAGGTTTCCTAGGCAGTATCTCTATGGAAGATTGCCCAAACCTTCCTTCTCAGGAGTGGCTGGTGGGTTTGAATGGCCAGCCTTCTGCTTAGCAGTCAAGCGCCTTAGGCACTATGCCACCAGAACCCCTGACAACACTCCTAGGCTTTCACATTTCCTAGGGTGGGGTGCCTCACTGCCCCACCCTCCCTGCCCCAGCTGAGGATGTGCAGGCTCAAGGTCCAAGCCCAACCTTGGCAGGAAGTGGCAAGGCAGTGGCTGGGGAGCCGGCCAAGAAGAGCAGCAGGAGGGGTGGGAGGGACAGCAGGCTCATTGTTCAACCTGGAAGTATCTGGTAGCCACTGGCCTTGGGGTCAGGGTCATGTCACTACCAGCTTGGTCGGCTGGTCAGAAGCCCAAAGGGAGACCTCAAGATAGTGACAGGCCCCTGGGGTTAAAGAGTGTTTGAACCACATCCCAGGCTTCCAGATGGTTCTAGGGCATTCTGCCCAACAAAACCTACTTGACCTCCAGAAAAAAAGAAAGCAGCCAAGACCAGGTTCTATTTTCAGTTCTCAGGAGAACAAAGTATCCACTTATTTGAAACCTTTTGAATTTTAGAATGAGGATTCCAAGGCTCCCCGCCCCCCCATCTGTGAGTTTGTCAAACTGTGGAGGCTTGAGTATTGCTGCGATGTTGGAAGCTCTACCACCAGTATTTCAAATATCAGCAAAGCCAATGGTGGACAGGTTTCAGCAGAGCTTCCAGACTAAGACAGACCATGAAGAAAGGCTTGGTGACCTACTTCCAAAATTGTTATTGCTAGGTGCCGTCAAGTTGGTTCCAACTCACGCAACCCCATGTACAACAGAACAAAACATTGCCCAGTCCTGAGCCATCCTCACAATCCTTGCTAT